CAAATAGAACGGTACTATGTCAACATGAATAGTTTTCAAAACAGTCAAGTGTATTTTCTGAGACTACCCCAAGGAGCATTCTCATTTGTAAGAGACAAGGTCGTGAGAATATGTGGTTATCCCTAAGATAGGCAAATCTAAAGACTGTCAAGAAACCACTTTTTCTAGTCAGTGAAGTTTGCTTTAGGTACCACTGACAGGAATGTGTTCTATTTCAAGAGCTCTCCTGCACAGTAAGTCTGATGCCCATGCTTTCCACAGGCTTCTCCAGTCTTCTCGATTTATATGTAGTTTATTAAGAATAATGATCCTCTCAAATAGTTTTCACTCCACATATAACTCAGTGAATTTCTATCATCTAGACAATGGGAAAAGGGAAAACAAACATCATTTCCAGTGCAAAAAGGTTTAAAATGGTTCCTTATCTCTTAAGACTCTTTTCCCACTTTATTAGCGTTTGTGCTTGATCAGTGTCTTTTTTTGGTTATTTGTGGTTTTTTGTTTTGTTTTGTTTTTGTTTGTTTGTTTTTGTTTTTTTTGTCCTGGAACTCACTCTGTAGACCAGGCTGGCCTCAAACTCAGAGACCCACCTGTGTCTTTCTCCTCAGTGCTGGGATTAAAGGCTTGCACCACCACCACCTGGCAGATCCTTGTCTTAGGGTTTTATTGCTGTGAAGAGACCATGACCATAGCAACTCTTATAAAGGAAAACATTTAGGGTTGGCTTAGTTTCAGAGGTTTTGTCCATTGTCATCATGGCAGTGTGCAGACAGACATAATTCTGGAGAAGTAGTTGAGAATCCTGTTCTGCAGGCAGCAGGAAGAGAGGGTGACACTGAGCCTGGCCTGGGCTTCTGAAACCCCCAAGCCCACCTCTAGTGACATACTTCCTCCAACAAGGCCTATAGTGCCACTCCCTATAAGCCCTATGGGGCCATTTTCAGTCAACATAGCATGAATTATATTGTAAACATTTGCATTTTGCTTGATCTTGGGGCATATTGTTTGGAGACAATATTGAAGGAGTGCTTAAGTGTTCCTTATACCCACAAAAGCTATAATGCAGCTGAATTAGTCTTAAACCTCACCAAGCCACAAAGGCATCTAAGAAACTTCAAAGTGGGATTTATTTTTTCTAAATTAAGAAAAGAGGGTTTTTTTTTTCTCTTTTTTATTCTAATTTTTGAGACAGGGTCTCACTGTGTAGCACTGGCTAGCCTTGAACTTCATATGTAAATAATATTGATCTCAAGTTCACAGAGATACACACCTCTCTCTGCTTTCCTGGTGCTGGGATTAAAGGTAAATCATGAAAGACTTTTTAAAAACTACATGTGTTATTATTTCTTAAATTTACTGTATACATTTAAGGTATATAATACATTTGATATACCTAGTAAGGAGAAAAACTTAATGAAGAAATATTAAGGCCTAATTTACATTTGACTAATGGGGCATTTATATCAGTTTATTAATGGAATGTGTGTTATAATGTGTGTTACAATCACCTTAATTTTCCCTCTAGGTAAGTGATGTTAATGATGATGTCAGGAGAGCAGCAGTAGAATCACTTGGCTTCATTTTATTCAGGTAATAATTTTTAGCTTCAGATTCTGTTTGTATTCCGTTTCTTAAGTAGACTCTTAAATACCTGAACATATTGAACTTAACAGAGACCAGTAAGGTTGGTACTGTGTGTTTGAAAAAGAACAATGTTGTGAGTTTGAGAAGTAAAATAACTTTCTCTGTTTAGTTTCCTTTAATGTCTGCTTATTTTAATTTTTTGCTCTTGATTTCCTGTGACTCATATGTGCTAAATACCAGTTTCAGCAGCAGGTGTCACCTGTGAGCCATCCTTTGTTAGTACATTCTTTTCATACTGTGATTGTCAGGTGGCGCTAGTGAGTCAAATGAATTACATGCTTGCACTGTGTTACCCAGGCTGGTCCTGAACTCAGACTCAAGAGATTTTCCAGCCTCCACTTCCTAAGTAGTAGAGGGTTCCAGTATGTACCCTGTGTGTGGCTTATTTAAGCACCTTGGTGAGTTGCTTCCTAGAATACCTTCTTGAAAGGTAGGATTAGAAGTATTGAGAGACTCTGGCTTAAACCATTTTTATAGAAGAAGAATATTAAATGTGGTCAATTAGTTTAGGGGACTAGAGTGAAAGAGCAAGTTCTTTAAATTTTACTTTAGTGCATATTCTCCAAATATCAATCTTTAAAGGCAAAAGGAACTTAGAAGTCAGTAAGTATTCTTTTAAATGTTTTATTACATTTATTTACTTGTATATGTATGCCTGTGGGCATGTGTGTACCACTATGCAAGTGTGGAAGTGAGAAAAAAACTTAGGAGTCAAATTCTGTCTTTGTACCATGTGGGTCCCAGAGATCAAAACTCAAGTCATCAGGCTTGGCAGCAAAGTGCCTTTACCTACTAAGCCATCTGATTGGTCCATATTAAATACATATTTTTAAGCTAAGGCTATTAAGTTTCACAGTTTGTATTCTTGTAAAGCTAAATGATGGGCGTTAGATTCCAAACAGTCTCATGATAAATCTAGCTTTCTCTCCCCTGTGTTTTTGTCAGAGCGCTATCTTCCTTGTTCTCAAATTTCCTTGTTGTGTTTAATGTTTGAGAAGTGTCTGTCCTGTTGTCTAAAATTCTTACATGTTTCCTCATGTGACATTATTTACTTTCAAGTATGTGCTCCAGGTTTTTTAATTTTTTTTATTTTATGTGTACAAATACTTTATCTACATGTATGTATGTATGCATGTATATATGTATGTATGTATATGCATCGCATGTGTATGGTGCCCACAATGGCCAGAAACCAATGTCAGATCTCCTGGAACTGTACTTAAAGGTGGTTGTGAGCCACTGACCTGGGGTCTGGGAGTGGAACCTAAGTCCTTCCTCTGCAGAAGCATCACATGTTCCTAACTGCTGAACCATCTCCCGAGAGCCCTCCGTTTTTGTCTCTTTCCCTTTCCTCTGGTAGAGTCAGGGTTTGGGTTTTAAACCAGGTTCTTGCTCCAGGCCAGCTTCTAATTCAGTATGACTGTGTAGCCCAGGCTGACTTCTAACTCATGATCATTCTTCCTCAGCCTCCCAAGTGTTAGGATTGCATGCATGTATCATCTCTGGCCTCTTAAAATCTTAAAATGACCCTACAGTCATTTAGCTTATACCACTTCTAAAGAATTTATTTCATCTTGATTTAAAAAAAAAAAACTTTTTAGATAATGCTTGTTGGAAATAAATATCAAAAACATTTGCTCATTCTTTCTTAAATGAAATTATCTTTGTGTAAAATTCTCATTTGTATTATTCTCTTTATTCACAAGATAGACCATGCAGTTGTACTATTTTCAGTCTTTCTCGAGATTTGGAGACTATTATTATTTTATAATGATTATCATCAGTGATAAAAATAGGACTGGGGATGTGGCCCAGTGGTAGGACAATTTTCTGTTATCTGCAAAACTCTGGCTTTGATCCTCTTCACTATGTCAGAGGACAAACCAAAACCAAACAAATGAAACGTACTTTTTTTTTTTTTTTTTTTTTTTTTTTTTTTTTTTCTGGTTTTTCGAGACAGGGTTTCTCTGAGCTTATCCTGGCACTCACTCTGGAGACTAGGCTGGCCTCAAACTTACAGAGATCCCCCTGCCTCTGCCTCCCGCGTGCTGGGATTAAAGGCGTGCGCCACCAACGCCCGGCTGAAATGTACATTTTAAAAAATTGGTATGCATGCCTCTAATTCTACCCTCAGAAAGATCATAACTTTAAACCTAACCTTGGCTACATATACTAAGACCTGCCTTTTCTTTTCTTTTAATATACATGGGTCTTTTGCCTGCGTGTATATCTGTGGGTCACTTTCATACCACCATCAGATTCCTTGGAACTGGAGTTAGAGTTGTGAGCCACCATGTGAGTGCTGGGAATCAAACCTGGAGGAGCAGCCAGTGCTCTTAACCACTGAGGACTCTTTCTAGCCCCATCAAATAACAGATTTCTTTTGTATCCATAAAATAGAAATTACAATTAAATACCAGTGGTAAAAATTTGAAACTATGTTATTCCTTTTTACAAATAGTTGATATTAATGTTATATTTCAATCAGTAAACTGTCTGGAAATGCTAGAATGATCTCACTAGCTATAGACAAGGTCAAAGATTCTTTAAAGTGACATCTGAATCTAGTTTATAGATTCTGTTATTGTTTTTGTAGGTAAGCAGTAACGGAAATCAGCAAACAATATAGAGAATGTTGGGTAACGCTTTGATAGTATTACTGGTAACTGTGTTTAGAATTCCTGAAACACCTGTGTGTGCTTCCACCTGCATAAAGTAAAGTATAGAACTTAGAATATTATCAGTGTGATGTCTGACAGCAGCCACCTTAGGGTTGAGGGAGTGGCTTGGCAATATGACACTTGTATTGGCATTCATGAGGCCCTGAGTTTAATCTATAGCATCAGGAAGGGGAAGAAAATAATCTGTTTGCTATGACAAGAATGTAAATCTTAACTTATGGCAGACTCATCAGATTATAACCTCAAACCAAATGGTTTTTGTCTGTCTGGCTTTTGTTTTAATCTATTTTTGGGATGGGGAAGCATAAATTATTGATTTTTTAAGTGAACTAACACATCTGAATGCTGTTGAAAGTATTAAGACCACTAGGGAAAAATGCCTACTGCTTTAATGATGAGGTAATTTAAATTTGAGATATACGCCGGGCGGTGGTGGTGCACGCCTTTAGTCCCAGCACTCAGGAGGGCAGAGTCAGGCGGATCTCTGTGAGTTCGAGACCAGCTTGGTCTACAAGAGGAGTTCCAAGATAGCCTCCAAAACCACAGAGAAATCGTGTCTTGAAAAAACAAAAGCAAACAAACAAAAAAAAACCAAAAATTTGAGATATACTTTGCCTGCCATATGATCCAACATATATGTACATGTTGGGGTCTGTGCATTCGATCCGTGTTCTAGGAAAAAATTCTTCCATTAGGGGAATATATGTCTGGTTTGCTTACATTGAGATTCTCCATCCGGTACATTTCCTTAGATGATAGTTATCGTAAACTCAGTTGCCTAGAAAGTCTCAGTGATAAACCAGGAGGTCAAAGCATAGGTTCAGTTCAGCTTTAGACAGCAAAGCTAAGATATGGTCTTGTCTTCATTGCCACCTCCTCCAGCCTAAATTTGTTTACCATTTGTGTTAGTATCATTGAATGAATACACCAACAGTCAGTAGAATTGACTGCCTTGTACTTATCCCTGTTAAGAATGGCACAAAATTGCCAGCCATTAGTGGAGCATGCCTTTAATCCCAGCACTCGGGAGGCAGAGGCAGGTGGATCTCTGAGTTCAGCCTGGTCTTCAGAACAAGTGCCAGGACAAGCTCCAAAGCCTCAGAGAAACCCTGTTTCAAAAACAAAAAAATTAAAAAGAAAAATTAAAAGAATGGCACAAAATGTAGATGCAAAAACTGAGGTGCAGTTAAACTGAATATCATTTACAAATTCAGTTAGCTATCCAGTACAGATTGTACTCATTCGCAGCTCTAACAGCACAAGGTGAAATAAACAGTAAATGAAGTTCAGCCACATGATTGGGTAAATACAAGCAGATGTAACCCTGGTCTATGAGACCACTCACTTAACTACAGAGGTCTCTGGATTGGGTTTCCATAGTTCCTGTTTCATCGTGTTGATTCATACCTTTAAGGAGCATGATGTGGGTCAAGCACCCAAGGGCAACTTCATTTGCTTTCTCCTCCTCCTCTTCCAGTGAACCTGCCTCTGCTGACTAAACGCCTGTTAACAGTTCTGCTGCTGAGGTCGGTTACATTGCCTGTGTCCTCTCCATCCCTTCTTTCTCTCAAGATAGTTTCCTGATTGAGGAAAATGACTGCATTTAACTATATCACCACTAAAGCCACTCTTGGCTTCCAAATATGATCAGAAGGGGTTTTTGTTGTTGTTGTTTGTTTGTTTTGGTTTTAGGGTTTTGCGTGTATATTTTGGGGGGAGGAGGATCCAGTATGTATTAGACTTTTGTGGGATTTTTAGAGGGTGGGGAGTCCCACTGGATGTGGAGTTCACTGAACAAGAGTAGCTGGTCAACAAACTCAGGGATCCTCCTGTCTCTGCCTCCCCAGCAATAGGATTGCAGACAGGCAATACCCAGCATTTTGTGTGGGTGCAGGGACCCAAACTCAAGTCCTCATTCTTGCATGGTGAGCACTGAACCATCATCCCACTAGCTCTGTAATCATTGTATTATTCATCTATTTTTGTCTTTTGGTCCTATCACTATTGTTTATGTATTATGCTTTTAAAAACTTAAGAGATTTAACATTTTTCTTCCATTTTATTTCATTCTTACACAACTTTACATACAATTAGGAATAATTTATAACATTGTGTTTTTTTTAAGACTGAAGTTTGTTGATTTATATAATTTTATTTCATTTGAAAACCAGAGTAGGGATTGCTTTTGTTTATAGCCATACAGAACTACTTTATCCATGTTTTGACTTTGTTTAGATATTCTGTGCTTTTTTTTTTTTTTTTTTT